CATCTGCGCAGGGAGGAGGCGTCCCAGGAGCGGACCGCCTTCTGTGAGCGGAGTCTCGGCGCTGGAGGCCCAGGAGGCAGGCGGAGGCGCCTTCGGCTGATCTGAGGGCCACAGCCTCGAGCCCAGGAGGGCCCGGCGCCACGTGCAGAGCCGAGCGGTGAAGCAAGAGAACTGCCCCTCCTGCGGGGGGCGCCAGGCCTCAGCGGCTGGACGCCGAAGGCGCAGGCGTGCAGTGAGGTCCGGAGATGTTGGGATTCTGATCAGCAGGAATTCGCTACAAAAAGCAGCAAGGCTGTCCCGCTTAGGTGCTCCTGGGGAGGTGTCCTAATCCACCAGGAGCTGGAGCTTTGAAAAACTAAAAGGAAAGCATTCAATTAAGCAGAGATTTCAAACTATATCACTGTTTTCAGGCTGACAGTGAACATTTTACCTGCTTTCTAAAGGACTGGTGCCAAAGGAGAGGTCAGTGTGAGAAGCAGAACAGGTGGCACGAACCAAGTGTTCACGTGTTTTCAGCCTCTTGTCACCTTGCTTCCCAGGGCTGGTACATAACCACCGTCTAAAAGCACTCATGGAATTAGGCTGGATTGTGACCCAGCGCTCCAACCGGAGATTTTGGATTTTGAGTGATAGAAAACAGCAATTAAATTTAGAATGTCCCCCAGACCCAGCAAACGCGACAATCACGAACGAGGATAAAACCAACAAATGCCCCAGGCTCTGTTCAACTGTTGGACAAAATGCTCTATAAATAGATTCCTTGATTCTCCAGCAGGGGGCAGCGTGGGCCTCCCTCAGCGCGACCGATCTGAGGGGCAACAGTCAAGAGACCCCCTTGCCTTTACTCTACCGGGAAGAAAGTCGTAGACTCGATTTCTCAGACCTCCTCTGCTGTGGTTGGGGCAGGGATGGCGCGCAGCGGGAAAGCAGAGGGAGGCCGGATGAGGAGCAGGGAGACTGGGGCTCCCGCGCTGGGGACCTCGGCCTGGCGCTCAGCTCTGGGACCCGCTGTGCGTAGTAGGAAGAGCTCAGGCCCTGGATTGCCTCTGCCCTCTGCTGCTGACAGCACGCACTGCTGTAGCTGGTAGGTCTCGCTGTCTGTCTTTCTCTGTCTGTCTCTGTCTGTCTGTCTTTCTGTCTGTCTCTGTGTCCCGTCCCCACCCCCCTCACTCACCCAGGGTCTTGCTGTCTTGCTGTGTAGGTCAGGCTGGTCTGAACTGAACTCAGCGCAGCCCATGCTGGCCTCAAGCTCCCGGCACTCCTCCTGCCTCAGCCTCGCGGGAGGGCTTGGGTTACAGGCCTTGCACCACCACTCCCAGCCTGTATATTGGCATTCTGAGCTCCATCGTGTAGCTGCAAGCCTGTCTTTCCCCCTTATTCACCCCTAGCCTGCTCCCCATGGCTCGGCTTTGCTACAGAAGGGGAGGATGTCACCCCCTCTGTGGCCCAGTTCCTGGTGTCCCAGAATCCGTGGGGGCCCTTCAGTGTCCTGCAGTCCTGCTGTGTGGGGTCACATTCAGCAAGGAGCCAGGGTCCCTGCAGTTAGAGAAGCTGCAGTAGCTCGAGGTTTATCCAGGAGCCACGCGGAAAGCCCTCTTGCCATCTCTGTCTTTCTTACCTTTCGCCTACATCACTGAAAGGGAGCATCACACAGGCTTTTTTTTTTTTTTTTTTTTTGTCTGTTGGTTTGCTAGAAATAGAAGCAGCTGAAATATCTTAAACAGAAACTTCTCTTGCTTAAACAAACAAACAAAAAACCAAGCTCTGACTCCTGGGGCACCAGTGACAACCTTTAAGATGAGGTCTTCAGCTCTGTCTGTCCTGACGTTGATGGGCAGAGCAGAGGCAGCTTGGCAGAGGAAGGGGGCAGGGGACAGCCAGTGACTGCATGTCTGGCCTCAAGGGACAGCTCGGTGACAAGCCGGCTAGCAGGTCAGTCTCCTGCAGACATATATTGAGCTGGTGAGGGATGAGGCTGCCTGAGCAGTGGGTGAAGTTGGGACATTATGTCAAGCTGATTGCTTAAAGGAAGAAAGCCACTCCACGGCCTCAGGTCTGGGGCTAGCTCCAAGTCTCACAAAGCCGACCTGCCTTTGTCTTCGCTCTTGCTGGCCGCTCCTGTGTCTTGGCCACCTCCTCCCCCTTCTCCCTTTCCTTCCCTTCCCCCTTTTCTCTGCCTTCCCCCTTTCCTCCCCCCTCCCCTTCTCCCTGTCCTGTCCCCTTCTTCCCTCGTCCTCCCCCTTCTCCGTCCTCCCTCACCACCTGTGATTCCTGAGCTTCTGACTCAGGCTGCCGCACAGGCTGCACTGAGTTGAGCAGGGCTCTGGGAAGGCTGGCGGCAGTGTCATGCTGTCCCCAGGACACTGAAGGGCTGGGACCTGCCCTCCACGCCCGCATAGGGTGTACCGGTCACTTCTCAAGAGAAAAGCCTCCTCCCTGTCCCATGGGGCACAGCTCACAGCCACATTGGGTGGAGTCCAGCGGGTGTCGCTGCAGACAAGGGCTGGGCTCCTGCTTGATTTTTTGCCTCCATCAGTGAAGTGTGTGTGCGCTCCCACATTTGTACATATCAAGAATTCCTGTGTCACGGTTATACACACTTAAAGCATATTAAAAGCAGAAAGGAACAGGCTAAAAATACTGCCAAAGTTGTCATCTTCTCACACCTAACTGCCTCCTCCTGTTGCTTGCCAGGTGCTGGCACCATAGAGCAGATCTGCTGGCCGAGGTGTCCTTGGGGTACAGGTTGCCTTGGACATCCAAGAAGGACAATATGGTAGTTACAAGGTGCCTGGTCCCTCCTCCACTGGGGTTGGGTAGAGTGTGTCCCACCCTTGGGGTCAGGGTCACTGTGCACTGTATTTGGTGAAAGCAGGCCGACAGAAGTGACCCAAGTGGTTCCAAGTGGCTGTTTGAAGGGCCTGAAGGGGAGGGCACAAGTGGGAACATAGGAAAAGCGAGGCACTAGCTTTCAGGGGTGACATAAACCCCAGGCTGAGTGGCTTCAGCAGCAGTTGCCGTTGCTGTGACCGGAAGCCACAAGCCTCGGTGTGATGGGGCTGGCTCCCTGCGGCCTCTCCCTGCTGCCACATACGGAGTCCCTCTGTGCGTGTCTCTGTGCCAATCTCCTCTTCCTGGAAGGGCACGTTAGATTTGCTGGGGCCCGCTGCCACGCCTGGCCTCAGGTAAGTGCTGGCCACGGCAAAGGCTCCATCACTGGCCTCTCAGGCTTGAAGCCTTAGCTGGGTCTGTGAATGCAAAGGGCGTCGCCCCCGAAAGTGGCTTCTGCACCCACGGAGTCACCCTCTGCCTTTCCACTCTGGCTCTGCTCCTCCAGGCTCTAACTCTGTCCCCTGTGGCCTGAGGCCCCCAGCCCTTGCCCAGTCCCAGCACAACCTCTCAGTCCTCTTGTCCCTCTCAGCCTGGCTCCCTAGTCCAGCACATGCTGGCTCTTTCCTAAGACACTTCGTTTCTGCCATCCTGCCCTCCGCGGTACCCCCTGCCAACCCACTTTCCTGTGACAGGCCAGGCCATCTCTGTGAGGAAAGCACCAGCTTGCGGGAGGGCATCAGGCAGCTGTGCTCACGGCTCTGCCTCCACGTGTGACTGCAGGGCCCGCAGCGGGCAGCCGACACCACCAGGCAGTTTGTTCTACATTGAGTAGTTGGTCTAAGTGCTTCATCTTAAACCCCCGCCTCTCTGCCCCTTCGACTCATGTTGCTATTTCTTAGGAAAACAAAGCCATGCCCCAGGCTCATCTCTCCCGGTGCTCACGACACAGGCCTGCACATCTTTGGCTGCGTCTTTGCCTCTTGCTATGAAAAATGTGGGCAATTTTTTTTTAAACAAAGGACACATTGCCCTGAGTGTCCCCCCAATCCCTCTTGCCTAAACACACTTCTCCCATTGTTCTTGCCGCTCTCTGCAGCAGCTCTGGAAGCCATGCGAGCCTTTAGCTGGGCTGTGCTGGCTGCCTGAATCAGGTCAAAGCCTTTCCCTTTCATGGTCGTTTTGACTTTGGGGAACAGCCAGAAGTCACACAGCGCCACATCCTGTGAACAAGGTGGACGAGGACCACCATCAGGTTTTTGACAGAAATTGTCACAAACGTGTGACCAGTGAGGGATGATCAACAGAGATGGTAAATATTTTAATTTAAAAATGTATTACTGGGGCTGGGAAGATGGCTCAGTGGAATAAGCGCTTCCCTGGCAAGCGCAAGGGCCTGAGTTCAATCCCTGGTTCCGCCAAAAAAAAAAAAAAAGTATTACTGCACCTTGTCACTAGTCGTCTTCACACACCCAGCATACTCAGCTTTGAAGACGAGTACCCCAGAGTTCTTGGCACAGGGTTTTTCACTAGAACACGCTTTATGGCTTTGGTCCACACTCAGCTCACGTTTCTCCTCCCTCTTCACAGCAAAATAAGCTGCCGCAGTGGCCTCTACTGGCCGCCTGCACTTTCTTCTTCACCTCCCATTTTCTGTGAGAGGCGTGTAAAAGGCTGACAGTATTAAAGCCGCACATCTGATCAGAGCACGGTAGAACTGCCTCGGTGGCAAAGTCCACTGGAGGAATGGCCCAGCCGGCTCTGGCCCTGCAAGTGCAGGAGTGATGGCTGCACCTCTCGGCTCCGCAGCCTTAGCTCCCTGGCTGCTCCCTGTGGGATTCAATGTACCTGTCACCAAGCAGTCTTGCTTAGGGGAGACAGGCGAAAGAGAAGTAGTGATGCTGGTCTTGTGCTCCCACCCACAGCTGGGTCTGAGTGCTCCAATCACTCATCCACTCATTTATCCATCATCCACCCATCATGCTCTCAATCCCTCAATCCAATAGTCCATCCAGCCATCAGTCACCCATCAGTCATCTATCAAGCCATCCATCCACCCATCCATCTGTCATCCATCCACCCATCCATTCGTTAGCAGGGTAAAACTAAAAGGAAGTAAATCCCTCTTTTTCATATGGCTATCTTCTTTTGAAATATTTTTATTTCACTTTATCTAACAGCAATATAGAAACATAATCATAAAAAATAAAATTGTAAGTTGTCCATCGATTGTGTAATAGCACTTGATATTGCTACAGAGTAGGTGTTGGGCGAGGCCGGGCCAGCTGGAGCCTGCCCCGGGGCCTCTAGGCTTCTGTGATTGCTACGGAGCCTGCGAAGACATTGACCACTACAAGACCACTTGTGGGAGCACGGCAGCAGCTCTGTGTCTGCATCCTTGGGGATGGCAAACAGGCAACACTACAAATAGTCCTTAGTCACATGGTGAGCGGGCCCTGGACACAGGGCCAGCACTGTTGCTGCCCACGCAGAGTGGAGCCTTCACAGACGGAGTGGAGCGACTCAGCTGGCTGTCGGTGTTCACTGTGGAAGGTGGGAATGAACCCACACTGGGCTGTGTGCAGGACACTCTCTCTCCCACCACTTTTCCAATCCCCCACCTCCCCTCCTCATCCCCAAATAAAATCCTCAGGATGAACTGAACACAACAGCTGACATGTAACATATCCCAAACTGTGTGTCTGGGGTTTGGTTTCTTCCCAGCAAACAAAGAAAGGAGGAAAACTCTGGGTTAACTGAGCCCCAAGTTCTTCTGCTGCCCCCAACTCAAGCACCCCGCTTTCTTTCAGTCCAGCTCTGCTCCTACTGAAATGGCAGATTTCTAAAAAGAAAACTGACCCAGTAGGCTTTCTTTTCAGAACATAGATGGGCTTCTACATTTTTCTGTGGAGTGGGTGGGTGGGTGTCACCAGAGGGTGACTCCAGGACATCTAGACAGAGGTGACAGGGAAGGGATTTGGTAGTGCTGTGGCGGACTCTGTGGGGACCTTTGGGATGAGTCCCTGGGGCTTTAGGGTGACAAACAACCCTAGCTACATCATTCGACCTTCTTTGATGAACCCACACATGCTGTCTGGCTCTTTGAGATTGCAATGAAGATACTGTGTCCCCTTCTGGCTACTTAGGGCCATTCATTGTATCGTCCTACTCTTAGCCCCTTAAAACCAGCCTCTCTCCATGTGGGTCATAATGAGGTGGACAGAGACCATGGCAAGAGACAAATAAGGAGTGTGGGGTGCAGTAGGCCTGGTGAGACCCTGGGATGGTGATGAGGGAACATGTATGTGCCTGTGGTTGGTACCCTGCACCAGCCAAGTACTGTGGGCTGCAGAGAGACAGGGGAGGCTGGCAGCACCAGGCCCATCTTTGGGGTTCAAGTTCATTGGTATGTGGCCTTATTCACAGCCACTAAGCAAGCCATCTTCCGGCCCACTTTACCTGTCATTCAGAGGCCTGCACTAAATGCCTCGAAGGTCTAGGAAACCCCTGACTGGTGGTCATCCCAGGCACAGATTGGTGTCAGACCCAGACCTAGCTCTCACCGCACTGACACCAGGGACTCGGACAGCCAAAGCCCAGACTTGCTGCTTGACCTACTCAACTGGACAAGAATCCAACAGTTAGCGACACAGAGCAACGGTCTAGATCAGGCACAGGGTTAAAGGTGGTTCATTGGTCCCCTGGTGATGTCTCTTCAGGAGTGGGACACAACGAGCTGATGTGGGTGGCACTATCAGAGCTGTGCCCATCCTAGAGACTTTGGTCACAGGAATCAGTTCCCAGCCTGCCAGGTGCCACTGGGGGATGTGGGTGACAGTGCTGGTGGCTGAGACTGGAACGTGTCTGCACTTGCTGTGTGTGTGCACCACACTCCCAGGCCACTCTGGAAAAGATGACCAAGGCCAGGAGGAGCCAAGATGAAAGGCTGCGGGGAGCCCGGCCCAGCCGCCAGCTAGAGCCACTCTTCTTTATTGGTGTTCTGGCCCGGGGGGTCCATGTCAAGGTTGCTTCATCACCTACTTAGAGCCAGGACCTGGGTGGCAGCAGCACAGCACTGGCCTACTAGGCCCTCTCATCTCCCACACCCCTGGGGAGCCTCCTAGGAGGACCCAAGTTCTGGGAGCCCTGTAGAGGGATCCCAGTTCACAGCACCAATGACCAGGACACAGGAATGCGGGCCACTGAGAGAGGGAGGAGATGGGTCCTGCGGGGACCTGGTTGTGGAGACACTGAGACCCCAGCTGGAGCCCCTGAGGGCACCTCCCACCAGGTCCAGGGGCCTTGTTTTGGCTGCCAGGAGGTAACTCCAGGGCGGTGCAGCTCCCCTCCCCGCCCTCAGCTCTGGCTCCTCAGCAAAGGGAGAACCTCCGGGAGTTGATGTTCATCTTGGTGACGCCGATGAGCTTGAGCGGTGTAGAGAGGCTGAAGGAAGAGGCCAGGGGCGATTCGCAGAAGAGGTCGGACAGCTCATCCCGCTCCTCAAGCTCATAGGTGGCGTCATTCAGCATCCTTCTGTGCAGGCGGCAGGTTTGCTCTATCTTCAGCTTGTTGATGTCGCCGCGCAGGCGCATGAGCTGCCTGGCGAGCTGCTGGTCCTGAAGCCTCATCTCTGCCTGCAGGAGAAGAGGAGGGGTCAGGAGAGGGCAGGGAGAGCTGCCACTCCTGGTCCCTGACAAAGCCAGACCTGGTTGGAGGAAGCCCGGTATCTTGGGCCTACTGGTCTACCTGGAAACCTTCACAGCATAGATGATGAGTCAGACACGGTGGTGACAGATGTGGGTGTGCTTGCCCCGCAGGACTCCGTGCCACACTAGCTGCTACCCCTAAGTCCTTCCTGAGCAAGGTGCCAGGCAGTCGGGCTTCAAGGTGCTTCCGGCTAATTCCTATTGTTGAGCAATTTCTAGCTGGAAGAAGAGGGTAAGGAAGGACGGGAATGACAAACATTCAGGCCCATGGCTCCTCTGGGCAGGAGGAGGGGGAACGATGGGGACAACAGTATTCAGGGTGTCACCTGCAACAGCAATGTGTAGATCATACACTATGGGCCAGCATGCTGCCTATATGTGTTTAAATACCTTAGAATGTTTGCCGTAGAGTTTCAAAACAGCCAAACATAAAAATAGGCTTTATTTGTTATTAGGAGCCAGGCACTTTTCTCAGCTCTTTTGGGGGTTTAGCATGAAATAGTTGCCCCTGTGACCCACAGGTCACAAAGGAGGAGGTGGAGGTGAGGAAGCCCTGTCACCCCCTCCCCTCAGCAGTGGCAGAGCTGGGCTGGGAACACAGATTCCAGGGCCCAAATAACTGGTGCCAAGTTCTTCCTCAGGTAGGAGAAGTGTGGACTCTCGAACCAGCTGGGGGCTTGGTGACCTTGTACAAGGGTCATCAGGCTGTTAGCGCTCCAAGGTTTCCTGATGGGGGGGTTGTGAGGACTCCCAGGGGCAGTTTCCAAAACCTATTCATTCACACACTGTCCACCTGTGGGAACCCTCAGTCTCCCTTGGGACCCATCAGCCCCTGTTGTAGTTATGACAGCATCGGGGACCACGCAGTGATGGAGAGCAGGCAGAATCTGGGCCTTTGCCTGCCACTCGCCCTAAACACGATGTGGGTTTTCTTCTGGGACCTTAGGAACTTGAAAGCCACTTTTGCTATGAACCCTCACTTCTCACTTGGGTCTTCAGATGCCCAATATGTAACTAAAAGCAGGACAAAGCTTGACCTTCACTTTGCAGTTTTGGTCACCATCCACCTTGGGTCAAATCCCTTCTCAGCTCTGCCTAGGGCTGTGCTGAGTGTCTGTCTCAGGAGGTGGCCAAACAGGAGGATTAGCCCTGAATTTGCCTGGTCTAGTCCCTCTTCAGACTAATAAGCCCAACATAAGAAGTTTACAGGGACAGTCAGCTGTATCTGCAAGTTCCTAGCCATTGTCTGAAAGCTGTGACGGTGCCTTAGATTGTGAATGTCCCACGAAAGGTCCCCTGTGCTCAGGGTAGGACTTTGGAAGGTGACTGAATTCCGGGGTGATAGTGCTGACTTGCTGTTGGAAGGTGGGCCTGGAGGAAGAGGCGGTCCCCAGGGACCTGACCTGGAAGGATGCGTCTTCTCCCCAGCTGTCTTCTTTGCTCCCTGCTTTCTGGCCTCCCTGAAGCTATCAGCTTTTCCTTGCTAGCGTGTCCTCCCCCTCTGCTATGCTATTTTGCCCGGGAGCCAGTCAGTGATGAACTAAAATTGTCAGCCAAACTAACCCTCTACCCATTTGAATCGTGAGCGTTGGACACTGTCTCTCAGCAACAAAGACAACACCTGGACTCCAGGAAACACAGAGCCCCACACGACTGAACCTTCCACAGACAGAGACTCCTTTCTTGTGAACAGAACCACCCCTCTGCCATTCCGTCTTACGACACCCGGGCTGACATGATGATCAGTGGGACCCAGGCCAGCAGCAAGCCCCTGAAAGCTGCCCTGAACCCCTGCATTGGGGTGCCTCTGCAGCCACAGCAGCTGGGGCCTTCCGCCTCATCCCTTACTTTCTGAAGAAGGCTTTCCCCTGCCAGTTTGTGCAGTGGTTTTAATTTCCATTTCTACAAAAGCAAGGACTTGCCCGAGCTGGCGGCACCAGCAGGACACGTGGTCTGTGCCTCACAAGTCAGGATGTGGGTGTCACATTCTTCAGCACTGGGCTTCCCACTTGGACCCAGGAGAGCAGGGCTGGAGCCACCACCTCGCCAGGCTGAGTGTGATTTCCATCAACAACACTTTGTCACCAAGACAGGCTGCCAGCTGCTCCTCCTCAGCCTGAGACCTAATTCCTTCTCACCATTATTGCCCTCCACTGGAAGGTGATGACTGTTTTGTAGTTTTGTGTCCTTATGCTCTGCTCTGTGGCCCACCTGGGCTTGGAGCAAAATGGGGGAGAAGGTTCCAGGGAGACCCTCCCTGTGATTATGCAAAAAAAAAAGCAGATGTTTTCACTTTCTTCTGCTCAGGTTTGAATATAGACTTTGTCAGGTTAAAAAAAAAAAAAATTAACACCATTACCAGTATGCATTTGAAAGTTTCTCTCATATTGATATACTTTGCAGATCTCTTTTCTTCTAATTTCGTAAACGAGAAACATTGATTGAAAGCCTTGTTTAGGGTTAGCAAGGTATTTAATGGCCCAGTGGGGGTCAAAGCCCATAGTCCCACTTCACTAGTTTACTCCTCAATCTGTTGGCATGAAAACCCCAATTCAGTGACCATCAGAAATTCTGTTGATTTGGAGCAGTGTCCCAGAAGAGGGAGGGCTGCTATGGGGTGGCTGCACATTCATTTGTTTCCTCTGGAGGCCCTAATGGCGGCTGGCCCAAGGCTTGTGAAGGACACCTGAGTCAGCTCTGCCTGCAGGTGGCACCTGCTCCGCCCACTGCCTTGGCCTCTTGGAGCCTGGCTGGTTTTGCCTCTTGGGGGGCACTGTCCTCCAAAGACAGCTCTTTGAAAAGCAAGGAGCCCTGTGACTTAGATTTGCAGGCTTGTTTTGTTCTGTTGCAGTGCTGGGGCTTGAACTTGGGACCTTGAGCTTGTCAGGCAGGCATTTATGCCACTGAGCTATATCTCCAGCACTCCTATGGTTTAGATTTGAACTCTGGTTGCAGGGCTTGATTTTTTTTTTTCAGAACTAGGGATTGAACTCAGGCCCTTGTGTTTTCCAGGGAAGTGCTTATTCTATTGAGCCATCTCCCCTGCCCTTGAGAGGGAGATGGCTTCAGAGGAGGATATTTCAGGTCTGAGCAGGTATCTGAGAGCAGCTGTGGACCACAGGCACCTCCAGGGGTCGCCTGGGGAGGAAGAGGGGCTGTTTTACAGGGGCCCAGAGACCCCGCCAAAGGTCAGAGGGCCAGGGGTTCTTGAAGACCCATCAGAATTAGCTGGACGAGGAGGACAGGTGGCACAGAGCCAGGTTCTTTGGACCGGCAAGGGGCCAGCTCAGTGGAGTCACCACAGATTTTGCACATGGAAAGGAGGACGAGGAAAACCAATTTCAAAAGTGTTAGATTCTGGCCCATGCTCCTGCTCCACAAGGAGGGTGTGGAACTGGCAGCTTTGGTCCTGTGGGCAGTCCCAGGATGGGCACAAGGATGCACTGTGGGTCTGCATGTTCAGAAGCCCCTGGGTACCCAAGAGCCTCGCCACTTTACACCCACACACCTGCATCAGAAGGCCAGCTGCACACTGTGCACCACTCAGGGTCCTGCCAGGGAAACCAACACCTCAGACACAAACTGGAACCTCGAGGAAGAGGTGGCCACCTGAGGAAACCCAGCAAGGCTAAAAGATGAATGTGCTCACAACGAGGCTGTCTTTCATTTGTCTTGCTGCTGGCTGGCTCTGAGCCACAGATGGCACATGCATGACTGTCCCAGGCAGTCCCCTTGGGGGGTACAGCTGCTCAATGAGACCATCATGCATGCACCTCCTGTGGTTCAAGCTATTGAGAACATGTTAGAAAATATGTTTCAGTAAAACATAGGTAACAAAACATGCATTGCTGTAGTGATCTTCCAGGGCAAGACGCACGCGCGTCGGGGCACAACATCGCTGCCATCCTGCTCCAAAGCCTCTTCATCTTCCCAACTCCCTGGTGTCGCCCCAGCCCCGGGCCACCCCTGTTCTTCTGTCTCTATAAATCAACTGCTCCAGTGACCTCACAGAGGTGGAATTATGTGGTATTTGTCCTTATGCCTGGCTTATTTCATGAAGCATGACGTCCTCCAGGTGCTCTTGGCTTGGAGGAGAAAGTTTAATGAACAGAGTCTCCTTAGAGGCATGTAATGGACACATGTCTGTGCCATGGGGAGCCCCTGGTTCCAGGTGGGGACCTGGTGCAAGCCAAGCTTCTCTCCTCTTAATTGGGGGGCTTTGGGGGGACTCTCTCTGAATTTCCATCTCCTCATCTCCAGGGAAGGGGGTTGACATCTGCTCCAAGCCCCAAGAGAAGACGAGAGTCACCAGAGGCATGCCTTCACCATGGCCTCGGTGGCCAGAGGAGACGAACTGTCCCCAGTATCTGGGGCGTCTCTCAGGGCCAGGTACAGACGTGGGCCAGGCAGCCTCCAAGGCTGAACTTCTTCATGATGACTCAGGCACTGCTCTGGACCCTGGCGCCAGGAACGATCCTCACTGATGTCCTTGGCAAAGGCTCAGCCATAGACATACCAGCCCCCACCAGGGGGGCCGGAGTCCCACTGGGGATAAGGACACAGGCTGATTTGCAGGGAAGAGGCCTCACAGTCTCTCAGTCCTGTAGATAGCCCAGGACCTGGCGGAAGTGGGACAGATGCCACCAGCAGGGCCTCACTGGTGCAAGGGAAACAAAGGGGGCCCCTGACAGTGGCTCTCTGCTGCTGCCGCCAACAGAGGTTGGTTTCTCTGGGGGGACAGGAGCTTTGTAGGTTTGAGGTGACTCCTGGGGGGGGTGTCGAGTGATCCCGGGCATCATCAGACAGCTCTGCAGGGAGGGGGAGAGGGATCTGGGCTTGCTGGGCAGGACAGAGGCAGGCAGGGAGGGACAAGGTAGGAGACCCATTGATAGCCAATGAGGAGAATAACAAGAGAGGAGCACCCCAAG